TTTGGGGAGAATTTTTACTGAAAGTGGCACTAGGAGATCCATGGAGGACCAAGGGATGTATCATGCGCATGATGGGAAGGATAGAGTAGCATAGATGCATGAGTGCTCACCACCACATCCATAAGAGCCAAGTACCAGAAAAATACCTTACGAGACCTGAGGATCTCACCAGAGTACCTTATACCAAATACCTGATCAGCTAAGGGGGAATGGCTCATGCGGTGACGGTGGAAAGTGCTCATGCATAGATGCATGAGAAGGTGCATGAAATGATGGAACTGAAATCATGGTGTAAAGGCTCGAAATACCAGAGGCGAGGCTTGAGAGATACTTATCTTCAGATGTTCTCGCTCCAGGTTTGCCTTCAAATGCTTCGAAGTTGACACTGCTGCTTCAATGTTGGCTCCTGAATTTTCCTTGGATGATGGCTTGAAGGAAGGACCGTGACATTGATGTTGCTCCTGATGGGTGCAAGGAAGTGGAGCATCTGCCATTGAAGGAGAGAGGAAAGAGAATGGGTGAGTACATGCAGCTGTGGAATGTTCGAACAAGCAAGAAAAGTAGGCATGTGCATGACGGGTGGTACAGGTATGCAGGAACATAACGCAGAAGCGCTTAACACCACTGCTACAAGAGCCAAGTACCACAAATACCAGTAGAGACATGAAGGACTCACCGGAGAGAGAACATGATAAAAAATCTAAGGGGTCTGGCTCCTAAAGCAGTTGTGGTAAGCGCTCCAGCATGACAGAAAAACATTTACGGAAACGATGTGCGGATAATGACGTTTGGAGAAACGAGGAAATATTTTTACTTATCTGTTATCGAAGTTTAGATCCTCATAATTGGCTGACGTCTTGGCTTGGAGTCTTGGCTTGGACGACTGACTTCGAATCTTGATCTTGAGATGTTGAAACCCGAGGGTGTTGCGGCCTTGCTTCTCCCGGGTGAATGAAGCATCGTAGAGGAAAACCTGCCAGCAAAAAGAGGATAAGAAGAGTTCTTGAGTTCACAATGACGGAATGATGCGAAAGACAATTAAATGCGATGAAACATGTGGGAGGGAGGGGGTATTCCAGCAAAAAAACGCACTGTAGAGCTCAGACAGACCGACGCATCTATGCACGACTTAGCGACGCTGACGCTAGACAGACCTAGAGAGAGACTAACCCAGACCTAGGGGAAGAGACAGGGAGCTCTACGAGCGAAAAATTGGCAGGAAAACAAACAAGTAAAATGGGTGAATAAAAGAACGGCTGACATGATGAGGGTGAAGTGAATACTTAGCTGGAAAGTTAGAAGATAGGTGATGGGCGTGGGCTGGAGAATATAGGACCGTTGAGCTGGTTGAAGAATATCGGATGGACGTGCCGCCAGCGTCGTGATGAGTGCAGAGCTGGGGTCCAGTGGCTTGAGTGATGACAAACCGCGGGTCTTTAATGTCTTCATTCCACTGCACAAAGGAAAAAAACGCAAATCAGTACAAGTTCAATGAGCAAACTGAATAAAAAACCGACACGCTCGGGACGAATAAAACGTTTGAAGGGAAACATTGGTTGACCTTGGTGCGGAGATTCACTCTACGATGGTAGTGAGCTAGACTACGGGGGTTGGCACGAACTACTAGGAGTTATCGTAGCTTTGCCTAGTTCCTTAGTGCTTGCACAATCACGGGAGAAATTGGCAAGAGTTTCCACTAGCAAAGTTGGAATTACGAAATGATTGTTGAACAAGCAATGACAACAATGAATACATCAGACACCTAGCAACTCTGCAGCTAGCCTGGTCGACCGACAGCACAGCATGGTCGACCGCCTGCCAGCGTTGCGTAGAGGAGCCGCGCCAACACTGCAGAAAGGCGACCTGCCAGCACAGCAGGTCGACGGTGTGCCAACGCTGCAGCAGAGCGGCTGTCCAGCGTTGCCCCGTAGAAGACAGCAGTGCGCACGCTCGCAGGCGCGCGCATACGATTGGCCCGACTTGCACCGTTGTGCATCCTTCGGCTGTTGTCTGCGCCTGACGAGCCACATCGACTTCCGGATACCAACCCGAAGTCGCCTTCAGCATCGCGACCTCGACGACGTTCGCGTGCCTCCGTAGAACTCGCCGAGCAGGTTACCCAGTCGACCTGGACAACCCAGGTGCTCTGGTCGACCACCAAGTGCCTCTGGTCGACCACCGGGTCCCTCTGGTCGACCACCAGGTGCCCCTGGTCGACCACAGCTCCCGTCGAGCTACCCCCTGGTCGACGGACCCCTTCCGTCGACCAGAACTGTCAGCTGTTGTCGCCGAGCTCCCCTCGTCGACCGCTGCTCACTTGTCAGGTCGACGAACTGCTCCGTCCACCTCCCGGTCGAACTGCCCCTCCTGGTCGACGGCCCACCCGTCGCCCAGACCAGTCAGTTGCAGCTGTCGAGCTCCTTGGTCGACAGCAACACCACAGCGGTCCCCTGCAGCTCGACGAAGCCTGTCGAGCAGCTCTCCCACCGTGAACGGTCGGCTGCTACTCCCGTACATCCAACCAAGTCGTCAGCGTTGCCCAAGCGAGGGCGGGGCCAACACTCCACTCCCGTTAACACTTGGAACGCTCGATCATGCCTCAGCAACTTGCGGAACATGAAACTCTACGCTGAAATCATGAGGCTAGGAGAATGTGCAAGACAAGAATGAAACGTTACTATACATAATTTGCTAGCTAGGGATATTGGAACTTGGAACTTGGTCAACGGCTACGCGGCGGATGCGGGAGAACATTAGGAGGCAACGGTGGTTGTTGGAGGTTGAGTGAGGCAAGGTTTTGCCCCCAACCACCGAACGGTGCTTCTCAAGTGTTCCAAGAAGTTTGGCTTCACTGCAGGTCTCGAGAAGGTGCAGGTTGACTTCGAGAGACTTGCATTTTGGGGCCACATGGCAGCACAAGAAGAATCGAGACTCAGGGAGAATTCGATTCGGTGAAATTCGAGACTCGAATTTCACCCCTTCGAAATGTTACTCGAACATTCGAGTGTACCGCGGTTCGAGGTTACATGTGCGGTTCGATGTTGATTGCATGCTATAAAACTAGTAGCTTTGTATGCATGTTTCATACTGGAAAACGTGAATCACTTTGTACACAGTGCATTCGACAACAAATTCCAGAGAGTTTCCAATCCTTCAACATAGAGCATAGCTTTCACGTTAGTAGCCATATCTCGCTCGATACTTAGGCGATCGAGGTGATCTACGGCTCGTTGGAAAGCTAACAGAGTGCTCTACTGATTAGAACAATTCCCAGTTCCTGCAAAGTAGAGGAGAGTACTCCACAACAGTGGTCGGTTGGAAGGGAGACATAGCAGATTTGTGAGGGAAGGTGTGTGGGAGGGAGTGATTGTGTCACGGGTGGACCCCCTTGGGGTTTGATGGATGAGTGAGTGGCGATGGGATGTGGATCATGTGAGACCTGGGTTCTGTTGGTTTGGGCGAGCTTGGCGAAGTGCCTGCTACAGTAGTTCTTGCTTTCCCCTAGGGTTTCGTCACAGTCGGATTGGGTGACGCATGTTGGTAAAGGTAAAGGAGAGGGGAGAACCCTCTTTGGATTACCCCCGGCTGGCGATTGTAATCCGCCTACCCACTTGTTTGCTCGGCTCGCTGGGAATCAAGGTAACAATGTATCCACTCCTAGATGAGTAGTGCGAAATCCCATTCTAAGGGGCTTTTTTAGAAAGAAAAAAGGGAAGGTGTGTGGGAGGGAGTGATTGTGTCACGGGTGGATCCCCTTGGGGTTTGATGGATGAGTGAGTGGCGATGGGATGTGGATCATGTGAGACCTGGGTTCTGTTGGTTTGGGCGAGCTTGGCGAAGTGCCTGCTACAGTAGTTCTTGCTTTCCCCTAGGGTTTCGTCACAGTCGGATTGGGTGACGCATGTTGGTAAAGGTAAAGGTAAAGGAGAGGGGAGAACCCTCTTTGGATTACCCCCAGCTGGCGATTGTAATCCGCCTACCCACTTGTTTGCTCGGCTCGCTGGGAATCAAGGTAACAATGTATCCACTCCTAGATGAGTAGTGCGAAATCCCATTCTAAGGGGCTTGCGGAATTTGCCGGCACTGGGGATTGATCCCGTAATCTCATCTTTTGGAAGAGCCATCTATCTTGACTGGGCCACTTCAGGATGGGTGACGCATGTTGGTTCGTCAATTCTGGTTTGCGCTGCTTCCGCGGCGAACACGCGGGGCTGGGCAGGTTTTGCAGAAAACAGAGCACGCGGAGCGCTGCGCACTGCACTGCGCAAAGCAGAGCGCACAACACTCGATCGCGGCAGGAGTTCTTGCTTGCCCCCCTCTCACCCTGCACTGCCTTTCCAAACAATTTGCAGACCACTGCCTCCAGCGTTCAGACGCCCTCGTTACAAGCTCGAAACTGCCATCCATTCCCCATTCTGCACCCTGCCCCAAACCCTCATCAAAAGTAGCGCCAACGCACTACGTCCTCGGGCAAACACTAACCACTTGCCAAACCACTTCTCCCCCTCACCCCGTCCCCTGCGCTGAACTACGTTTTTCCCCCGTCTCCGCGCAGTGCTTCCCTGGCGCAACTGACCCCCCGTTCGCAATCGGCTGTTCAAATTGCCAAACCCCCGCTTCAAACGCCACCCTGTCATCACTCTCTCCCTGTTTCCGCCCTACCTCTGACCCTAGCTCCATGGCTCCCGTGTAATTACCTCCTCCACTCTTCCAATGATACACCGTTCTCAAGACCAAACCCAATTTCGCTCCCATGCCGCATCCCGGACACGCCCAGGGAGGCGCCAATTTGAAAATCGCATCGCTTGAATTTTACACAGCGCGGGTATCACCGCGGTTCGTTGTTCGTGTTCTCTAGACTAGACTGTACTACCATAGTACCGTAGTACCGTGCTCCTCCATCCCACTCGCGCTTTCAAACAACTGCCGCCTCTCCACGCTGAGCGAAAAAGTCTCCGCCGCTTACTGCTTCCTTCCGCGCTCCGATCTCCAGTTCGCGCATGTCGCATCATCTGCCGCTGCTCCCCGGAATGGCGGACGACGGGCCGCTGGGCGTGGCGGGCGCGTACGACGACGCGCTGATGCCGTCGGCGGCGGACCGCCAGTCGCACTGGGGCTTCCACGAGACCAAGGAGCTGATCGCGCTGCGCGCCGAGATGGAGCGCGAGTTCGTCCCCGCGCGCACGAGCAACCACGTGTGGGAGACCATATCGTTGCGCATGAAGGAGAAAGGGTACCGCCGCACGCCCAACCAGTGCAAGTGCAAATGGAAAGTGCTCGTCAACCGCTACAAGGTACCTGCCGCGCAACGCCCGCCGCATTACGGAGTTAGTGCTTTTTTATTTTCCGTTTTAAACTTCCTCTCCTCCTAATTTTCCTCCCGCGACCCTCTCCTCGTTCCACCCGTGCACCCGCGCTCCCCCGCGCGCCCCGCCAGAACAAGGAGCTCTCGGCGGACGGGTCGCGCTCGTGCCCGTTTTTCGATGAGCTAGACGCCATTTTCAAGCAGCGCGCGCTCAGCATGGACCGCCTTCTCGTGCAGGCGGAGGGCGGCGGCACGCCCGGCGGAATCGGCGCCACTGGCGGCGTCGGCAGCGGATTCTCCGCAGGAGGCGGCCGGGCCGGAGCAGTCGGAGGAACCCTGGGCACGCGCGGAAGCTTCGGCGGGAAGATGGGCGCGCGGGGGGGGGCGGGGGGCGTGGGAGGGGGCTTGCTCACCCGGCGGGCGCGAGACGAGGAAGAGGAGGAGGAGGAAGACGAGGAGGAGGGGGACGACGAACTAGAGGACGAGTTGAACGTGGTGCGCAACAAGAGGCGCAAACGCGACTTCAATGCTGGCGCGCGCAAGGCCGCTACCGGCCCCTACGGCGCGGGCTCCCCTGGCATGGGCAAGGGCGCGTCCGCCAGCGCTGGCGGGGGCGCAGGCGGAGACGCGTTTGATGGCGTAGGCGGGGCGGGCAACGGGGGGGGGGACAGGCGCGCGGTGCTGGAGAGGCAGCGTGCGGGGAGCATGCAGGAGGTGCTGGAGCAGTTCTTTGTGCAGCAGCTGCGCCTGGAGCAGGAGTGGCGCGAAGCCATAGAGCGGCGCGAGGCGGAGCGGCGTGTGAGGGAGGGCGAGTGGCGCAGCAGGCTGGAGGCGCTGGAGAGGGACCGCGCTCAGAGGGAGTCCATGTGGCGGCAGGTGGGTGTTGTGAGGTGGGGGGGCCCAGGTGCATGTGGGGGTGTGTGTGAGGAGGGGGTCAGAAGTCGCTGGAGAGGGACCGGGCGCAGCGCGAGTCCATGTGGCGGCAGGTGGGTGTGGGGGGGAGGGGCAGGTGGGTTTGTGGGGGAAAGGGGGAGGGGGAGGTTAGGTGGGTTTGTGGGGGGACAGGTGGTTTTGGGGGTTGCAGGTGGGTCACCAATCCCTTCAGCAGCCTCCCTCGCTCCTGCTGCCCTTTTCCCTAACGAAGCCTTCCATCCCTTCCTCCCATGTACCTGTGTGTATGTGTGCGACTGTGTGTGCCTGCGTGCCTCCGTGTGTATGCTGCAGATGGAGGCGGAGAGGGCAGGGAGGGAGGACGAGAGAGCAGCGCGCAGGGATCAGCTCATCATCGCCCTCATCACCAAGCTCTCTGCCCCGCCTGCTCCACCCCCTGCTGCACCCGCTCCCTCTGCACCGCCTGCAACCACCCCCCCTGCTGCCCCTGGCACTGTTGCTGCTGACACTGCTGCCGTTGCTGCTGCTGAGGCTGCTGCTACTGATGTAATTTCCTCTGCTGCTCGTGGTGCTGAGGGGGCAGGAACAGTGGGGGACAAGGGGAATGCAAGCAACGCTGCGGGTGGTGGTGGTGCGGGCAGTGCTGAAGGGGGTGGAGGTGGGGAGAAGGATGGGGTGGGGGCTGTGCAGACAGATGGAGCCATGGGAGGACTGCAGGAGGGGCAGTCTGCTGCTCAGCCTGTTGCAGTGTAGCTTAGAGGACTGTTTAGAAGTGAATGTTTCTGGTTCCTGTTTGAGGGTATTCTCAATAAATCTTAGTACCGTATCACCCCGGCAGGCCTATTAAAAGCGCATGCGCTTATATCTGGAGCAATGCGCTTATGGCCGATCCTCAATTATAAGCGCACCCCCTGTAAAAACCTGAGTTATTATAAGCGCATGTATAATATTAAATTTGAATCGTGATTAAAACGGAAACGCGTTTCAATTTTGCAGCAAGACAACCACCAATTTCGCTTCGATTGACTCTCGAGGACCTTACATCCTGCGCGTCCAGTGGAGGTGTTACGAGTGCAATGGAGTGAGCGAGCGAGGATTGCACTATCTGTCAGAATGTTATCTTATGCTCTAGCCTGTAGTGGGGTGCTCTATAGCGAGTACAACCCTTCTAGGGTTTGCTATTTGTATCCTCAGTCTTGCTAGTGCAATCCTCTTCTTTCTTCTAAACTTTAACATGCTATCAGAGCAGGTCGATCCCCTTGGATCGATCCTGTGGGTGGGCTTACCACCTCCTAGCTTCCGCTGCAACTCCTACCACTACACTCGGTGCCGCACGCCCCGTGGCGTGTGGCAGTTTTCTTCCCGCCGTGCGCCCCGAGGCGCGCGGCGGTTTTCTTCCCGCCGTGCGCCCCGAGGCGCGCGGCGGTTTTCTGCCCGCCGTGCGCCCCGAGGCGCGCGGCGGTTCTCTGCCCGCTGTGCGCCCCGAGGCGCGCGGCGGGCTTCGGCCCCGTCAACCGTCGCGTCGCCCTCGGGAGGCGCCGCGACGGGCGACGGGGACCCGTTCGTCGCCCCCCGTCGCCCGTCGTGGCCTGCGCGCGGCCCGTACAGGCAGCGCGCGACCCGTACGGGCTGCGCCAGGCCAGCGCGCGACCCGTACGGGCTGCGCCAGGCCCGCGCGCGACCCGTACGGGCTGCGCCAGGCCCGCGCGCCACCCGTACGGGCTGCGCCAGGCCCGCGCGCGGCCCGTACAGGCGGCGCCAGGCCCGCGCGCGGCTCAGGCCGCCTACGCGCGGTTCGGGCGACCCTACCAGGCCCGTGGTGGGCCCGCTCCTTGCTGCCCCTGCCCTCCCTACTGTCCCCCAGCGCTTCTACTCGTGCCCCACCCCTCCTACTCCCCATTCTCCTGTATTAGGGTTTGGGGGTGCGGGGTATGGGGGTGCACCCACTGTGTACTGTTCCCTGCTCCTCCTCCTCCTCCGTCTCCCTGTGCTGCAGCTGCCGCTGAGGGGGGGTGGACGTGTTGGAGCCGGTGGAGTGGTACTAAGGGGGGGTGAAGGGGGAGTGGAGCTAGCGGTGTAGCAGCGGGTATGTGCCAGGGGGGAGTGGGATAGTTTGGGGAAGCTGAATGGAGGTTGCCGTCGTGTCGCCAGCAGCACCTGTATTCCGGGGACTTCGTCCGGTAGCCCAGTCGTAGCCAGCTGTGCCAGCCGCCCGTGGGTCCGTTGCTCGTCTGCCGCTACTTTAGCCGCGGGGCCTGTTACTCCTGTATTCCGGGGACTTCGTCCGGTAGCCGCTGTGCCAGTCTGCCTCCTGTTGCCTGTGTGTCTGCAGCTTCAGCCGTCGCCTCCTATCTCCTCTCCTCTCACTCTCTCTCCTCCTCCTCACTTGCCCGTTGTGACTACCACTAGCTTTGCTCATAATTGTGAACTTAAACTATTGCTTCTTGAACTTGTGCTCAGAATGTGTGGTGACATTGTGATCCACCCTGAGCTTGTACTCCTTTGCTTACTCTGCTGATTACACCCCACTTTGGCTATGGGGGTGTGTCAGAATGTTATCTTATGCTCTAGCCTGTAGTGGGGTGCTCTATAGCGAGTACAACCCTTCTAGGGTTTGCTATTTGTATCCTCATTCTTGCTAGTGCAATCCTCTTCTTTCTTCTAAACTTTAACACTATCGAGACAATATACAACGAGCGAAGGTTTTGAGCGAAGAATATATAGCGAAGCTACAGTGGTAACGGTAACGTGTGGAAGAATGGGGTGCGCGACGGGCCTGGTGCCGAGGTTGGGGAATGTCGAGGCGGAGGTCCGGAGCGCGGGTTACCAACCGAACCGTGAGGTTGGGTCGCATCGTGAACAGTGGCGGGCAGGGCCTATGTTTGGTTTTTGGCTACTCACGATTAGCAGTGTAGCCTTTTTCAAAACCCTTCTGAGCAGTGTGCCCTTTTTGGAAACACTGATGGATCAGTGTAACTTGAACTTATGAAAACTTTACCCAGAAGCATCAGTGTAGGTATATTTTTTACCCTGATTGTAATGTAGGCAGCTCAGTATGTGCTGGCAGGAACCAAGCTCGAGGCCCAAATTGGGCGCTGGTGGGTGGGGGTTGTGAACTCAAAAGTTGAGCGCAGTGGCTTTTCTGGTTTCGCTGCTGCAACACTTGTTTTTTCGCCGAGTCAGCAAGCTTCCCGGGGGGAACGTGGGTTTGGGTACCTCGAGTCCCAAATTTCAGAGTCAAGATAGTTAGTAAAGTTTTTGCAGTGAGTGCAGATTTGACCAATCAGGTTGCATCGCCTCTACAGTAGGTTGCAAGCAGACATGGAGTGGCGCGGTGTCGGTTGTCAGTACTGACGTGCTGGCGTCGTAGTGCATCATTACGAAAATTGAGTGTATCGTTACGAAATTTCTAGGAAACTTCGTCTCGATAAGTAGAGTTTCGAGGGGGGGGGTGCCCTGTACGCCCTTAAGGGTAATCTTCGCAAAGGGAAAATTTTGTCAAACATAATAGTTTAGGGGCCTCGGGTTTGACCTAGGCGAGAGTGACGAGAAGAAAAGGTGCAAGCCAAGAAGAGGGCTTCACTAATGAGAATAGAAAGTACAAATAGGTAAACAGCAACACACAGAGGTGCACCACCAAACATGATGCAATATCTAGACTACAACTGCAAACGATTATATAAAATATGTAAACATATTTTGACACGCCCCCATAATTGATTGCAGGAGTAAGTGTAAAACGTCCCCTGGCGGGGTGCACCAGGAGTGCAGCGGAAAAAACAGAAGCAAGCAAGAGCAGTAGTAGCCGGTGCAGGAGTGGCAAATACAGCTGTAGCACGCCCTCAGCCAAGGCAGAAGCAGTAGCAGGTGTAAGGGCGGCAGGTCGCCTGAGGAGCAGGCTCTGTGGCTGCAACATGCAGCAGGACAGCAGCGGCTCGACGGCAGCACCTGCAGGCCCCAGCAGCAGACAGCAGAAACAAGGGCAGGTGGCGGCAGGGGCGGCAGCAGGAGGTGCCACGGTAGCAGCGGGTGGCAGCTGCAGATGCTTGACTGTTTTCCCACCACCCTCTCTTACCCTCCCCCCCACAGCAGCACGAGCGGCAGTGAGAGAGAGAGGAGGGGTGGCTGCTGGCTTTGCAGAATCTCTCTCGCCACCCTCTCACACTCCCCCCGTTTCCCCTCACCCTCCCCCCGCAACCTCTCCCCCCCCCTCACGGCGGACCCCGCTGAAGGGAGGGGTAGGACGGGCTGCAGGCAACTCACACCCGCCACCCCCACATCTCCCTCCCCCCACGGCGGAAGCTGCGGAAGGGAAGGGGGGGGCGGCGTTAGCTGCTGCTCACACAGGTGCTGGCGACGGGCGCTGGTGCTGGCGCACACGGCCGTGCGCGGGTGCGCACGGTCGTACGCGGCTGTGCGCAGCAATGCGCGCCCGTACGCAGCTGCGCGCGGCTGCTGCTGTGTTCGTGACAGAACGGGGTGGGGCAGGTCGGGACGGGTAGCGCTGGGCGGGTGACAGGGCGAAGGAGCAACGGGGCAGTACGAGCCGCCCAGCTCGTCGCCATGACAGCAGACAGCTTGCCGTCGCGCCCGTCGCGTCAGTCGCAACTAAGGGCGCGACGGGCGCCACAAAATGAGAAATACGCGGTGGGCCCATGTAGTAGTTGAAAACAGCAGGCCATTGTGAAGATAAGCAGTAGAAGAAGGCGCCATAGCTAGGTAAGTCCTAGCTAGGCAAGAGAAGTTTAGGCAAAAGAGGAGGTTGCACTAGCAAGAATGAGGATACAAATAGCAAACCCTAGAAGGGTTGTACTCGCTATAGAGCACCCCACTACAGGCTAGAGCATAATATTCTGACACACCCCCATAGCCAAAGTGGGGTGTAATCAGCAGAGCAAGCAAAGCAGTACAAGCTCAGGGTGGATCACAATGTCACCACACATTCTGAGCACAAGTTCAAGAAGCAATAGTTTAAAGTTCACAATTATGAGCAAAGCTAGTGGTAGTCACAACGGGCAAGTGAGGAGGAGGAAAGAGACTATGAGAGGAGAGGAGGTAGTGGGCGGCAGCTGAAGCTGCTGGCACACGGCGCAACTGGAGCAACTGGCACACGGGCAACTGGAGCAACTGGCACACTGGCAACTGGAGCAACTGGCACACGGGCTACTGGAGTAACTGGCTCCGCGGCTAAAAGTAGCGGCAGACGAGCAACGGACTCACGGGCGACTGGAGCAACGGGCTCACGGGCGACTGGCGCAACGGGCTCACGGGCGACTGGCGCAACGGTCTCACGGGCGACTGGAGCTGCTGGCTTCACGGCGGCCACCCCCTTCAACCTCCCCAAACTATCCCACTCCCCCTGACACACACCCGCTGCTACACCGCTAGCTCCACTCCCCCTTCACCCCCCCTTAGTACCACTCCAACGGCTCCAACAAGTCCACCCCCCCTCAGCGGCAGCTGCAGCACAGGGAGACGGAGGAGGAGGAGGAGCAGGGAACGGCACACAGTAGCTTCACCCCCATACCCCTCACCCCCAAACCCTAATTCAGGAGAACGGGCTGTAGGAGGGGTGGGGCGCCAGTAGAAGCACGGGGGACAGCGGGGAGGGCAGGGGCAGCGAGGAAAGGGCCGCCCACGGGCCTGGCACAGCCTCCCGAACCGCGCGCAGGCGGCCCGAGCCGCGCGCGGGCCTGGCGCAGTCCGTACGGGCCGCGCGCCGGCTGTACGGGCCGCGCGCAGGCCACGACGGG